TTTTAGAGATTAGACTTATTTTATTCACAAGACCCAGGATTTTCAAGAATTCTAGCACAGTGCTTTCCTATATTGAAAGTCACACCTGAAGCCTAACAGGTACTTAATCTCACCTGTGAATCACTCATTTTGAAGGTGGAGTCTCTTCTTTGTCTGTTCTCTATATCTTGCTGAAGCTGGAAATAAACATGCAAACTTTAATGCTCCACCACACAAAAGCAGGAAATATATGAACAGGCTTTAGATATTTCTAGGACTTGACATAGTTAATTGCCTTTTTTTCCAATTAACTGCCTTACAATCAACATGTAGGGCAAAGGTTCTGTTATTTACACGAAGCTAGCCTTAAACAAATCTGTCATAGCCCCCTATTGTGGCAACACTCCTGACTTATACTGATGACAAGAGTACCCTCTTTTTGTTTAAGAGAATACCGTTCGCTGTGCTCCTCCAGCCTTATAGACTATCATGCTTCATGGCTTCCCCAGTCAACTTCAGTAGAAGTCGAAATACAATGCATTCACCATTCTCTGGGCCAGCAGCCCTATATGTAAATGTACTTACTATGCTCTCTTGCCCATCAGTCTCTGCTGGCAACTTTGCGTGCAAATGCACATCATGTAGAAAACCAGGCAGTGGTGGGATTCAACCGGTTTGCAACACTTCAGCTGAACCGATTGTTAAATTACCCCTCACTCTTTACCTTGCCCCGCCCACCTTGACCGATGCCTACATTCACGCTTGTGGCATAGCTGCTGCTGCTCCGCAGCCTCTGCATCCCAGCTGATCTCTGCCTGGCGAGTCTTCCTCCCTTAGCTGCCTCCCACACAGCCCATCCCACTTGCCTGCCTTTGCTGAGGCCTACCTGATACCTGCATAGGTGACTGGATGTGTAGCTGACATTTGGCTTCCAGCGCCAGAGAGGGCAGGGAAGAAGCAGCCGAGCTTCTGCTGCCTTTCATTGGGGGACGTGGAGCGAGATGGAGCTCCTTCTGCCGCCTCTTTTCCCCACCCCCTCGCCAGGCATGGCAGGGCTTCCTGCCCCTCACTTTCACTGTAATTTGAGAGTATGGCAGGTGGGGAAAGGTGGGGTGGGAGAGGAAGGGTATTCCAGACTCCAGGGCCTACTGGCTTCTTCCCAGCAGCTCTTGCTCTGCCTTTTGGTGTCAGTGGTCAAAGATGAGGTTTTTGTGGGCAGAAGAGTTTGCCAGCACCGGCCAGATGCCCTTGTTTTCCCCAAGCATTTTTTGCCTATTTAATTTTCAACTCCATCACATTTCTCCGTCACGTTTCTTGCCATCGTGTGCAGGGAAACAAAACTTTGTGGCAGTTAAAAATATCTATCTATTTCAACTTCTCACGAAAGAAAAAAAAAATCACGAAATTGGAATCAATTGATTTTTTTTTTTTTTAGTCCCACAAACTTTTCCTGCAAACAATAGCAAAAAACGTGATGGAGCTGAAAATCAGGTAGGGAAAGCAACGCTTGGGGAAAGTGAGGGCATCTGGCTGGTGGTGGGTGGGGCAAGCGGCAGAATCATGGTGGAAAAAAATGAAGCTGCCCATTAACGGCCAGGACCACCCCAATAAACAAGCAGCAGCCGCAGTGGCTCCGTGGCACCCTGCTCCTCCTGCTGGGAAGCGCGCCCAGCCGTATGTGGCCTTTCCTCAAATAGGCTGACTGTGTGCACATGGGGCACTTGGAGAGAGAGAGCAAGAGACCTCTCCAACCTGTTTTTATGTGTGTGTGTGAGAGAGAGAAAGAGAGGGAGGGAGGGAGCAATCTGTGCTTGCCAAGGCACACAAACTTCTGGCAGTGGCAGAGTGGCTTCTGAACAGCATGATCTCCCCCACTACCCAGTCAGCCAGCTCCACCTGACCTACTCCCTGAATCTCCCTACCCTCAAGCGGTGGCAGGCTCTGCGGGACAACAGGGCCTCTCATTTTTCCCAAGGCACAGTGTATGCTTGCTGCCTCTGCTTGTCTGCTTGCAAGTGGCGATCTTCTCTGCTTCTCTCAGGAGGCTGGTGTGGGCACCATGCATCGCTTGTTCCGGCAAGCTGGATGTGGGTGTGAAGGGCCTGGCTCCACAGTGCTTCCTCGCTCAGTTGAAAACTTCATTCAGCCTTCTGGAGTTTGCTGCACCAGAGCAAAAATGATCCCTGCGGACCCTGCCACTGCTTGAGCAGGGAGGATGACGCTGAGGAGAAAAACCGCGAGGTTTTGCACCAGGCGGCTGGCCCTGCAGTAGCAGCTTGAATGGCCCAACTAAAGTTGTGGTTACCCCGAATCGCCAATGTTGGCCTTGATGACTTACTTGAAAGGCCCTTTGATACTCTTCCGCAGCTCCTTTTCGATCTCACCGGCTTTCAGGATGATGGGTCCCCGCACCACGTACTCTACTGCTTTGACCTGCTAGTTCATAGATTCCAATATGAGGATCTTCTCACATGGTGCTTTCTTCAGCTGCAGGGCGGGGGCCTTGGCTACAGTGCTGCTCCAACCAGCCAGCTCAAGCCTAAGCTGGGCTGGGTGCTCCGTCTCCACCAGCGGCTGGGTGATGCTGCATGGGGCATTGAGTGGCTGGTGGCCACGCAGTTCTTTGCCAGTGGCCAGCCAAGTGAGGAAATGCACGGCCTTGGCTCTGCGCTCGAAGAAGCAAGGGGGAGTTGCGTGACAGCAGCTTCCCTGCTTAGCCTCAACAAGCAATGCACCAGCATCCCAAGAGAAGCAGAGAAGATTGACGCTTGCAAGCAGACAAGCAGAGCTGGCAAGCGTATGCCATGCCATGAGAAAAATGAAAGGCCTGTTGTCCCACAGAGCCTGCCGCCCCTTGAGGGGGAGGGGCGAGGAGAACAGTGAGACTCTGGGAGTAGGTCAGGTGGAACTGGCTGGCTGACTGGGGAGTGGGGATCATGCTTCTCAGAAGCCGCCCCCACTGCTGCCTCCCCCTCACACACAGAGGTTGGAGAACTGGGAAGGGAGGGACCAGGTGAGGTGCCCCTTGACGTGAATGATGGTGAGTTGGCCACACCCACCCAGTCACATGACCACCCCCCAGCCACATCCCCCCCAAGCTGGTCAGAGCAGAGAACTGGTTGTTAAATTATTTGAATCCCACCACTGAGCCCAGGTGATACAGTGGTTAGAATGCAATATTGCAGGCTAACTCTGCCAACAACCTGGAGTTCGATCTTGATGGGGCTCAAAATTGACTCAGCCTTCCATCCTTCTGAAGTTGGTAAAATGAGGATCCAAATTGTTGAGGGCAATATGCAAATAATGCTGACATTGTAAATCGCCCAAAGAGTGATTGCACCATCAGCATCTGTGTGCAAGTGCACACACAATGTTTACTTAATTCCTGCTCTTCATGTTGGGAATTTGATATATAAGTGCAATCATCTGCCTTTTCACTTTCAAAGCTGGGAGTTTCAGTACCTTTTATCTTTCCCTGTGGCTGGACCACAAAAACTGGTGTACTTTGGATAAGAATTATTTTTCCTTTAAAAAGAGAGCTATGCTGGCTGGAGAATTCTGGGAGTTGAAGTCCACAAATCTTAAAGTTGCCAAGTTTGGAGACCTCTGTTCTAAATTTACTTTTTTTTTTTTTAAAAAAAAAGCTATTTTTTCATTACATTAAGCAACCTTGCAGTTTTCCTTTTCATTTCTAGATCATTGCATCAGATTCAAATGATAATAAGTGATGGCACAGCATTTTTCCCAGGATACTCTTGCAGATTATACAGGGCAAAAAGATTATACAGATTATACAGGGAAAAAAATGGGTGCCCCTTTAGCCAATCAACATTAATTTTGTGTTTAACTTTAAGGGGCTAAGGAAGGCATAATAACTCTGTCAATGGCTCCAAAGGCTTACAGCTTGTTGCCGTAACTAAAACGTATACTAGGAACTCTTTCATTTTGAGTCTTACCTTTTTGTTAAAATATTCATCTTCTATACAATATTCATACACTGGAGAAGATCCTTGTGGCCTTGGTCTTATACTTTCAGTTGTCACTTCACTGATCTATAGAAATGGAGAAATAGCATTAGCTTGCCCTTATTTCCTGAATTTGCTTTCCTATTAATTTCATGGGCTTAAAAAAATATTATTGTGAGGAAAAAAAGGTGGATTATACCTTTCTTTAGTTTGATCCAGCAGGATACTGAATAATACCAAATTCTTATTAAATTAGCCAAATGGGTATAATACAAGTAGTCCTCACAACAATGATAATTGGAACTGGAATTTCTATTGTTAAAGTGATGTGGCTACAAACCATAATGTCACTTAAAGACCAAAATTCTGGTACTTCCCATTGTCATTAAGTGAATCACCATGGGTGATTAAGCAAGAACATCACATGGCCTTCATTTATGACCTCCTGCCAGCTTTCCATTAATCTGCTGATAAGAAGTTAGCCAAACGGTTGCAAATAGTGATCATATGACGTTAGGATGTTGTGGCATTGTAATTGTGAGCTAGGAGCTGATTATGATTGCATGCCTGCAGGGACACTGCAACCAACCTGAGTATGAGAACTGGACACAAGTACTACTTGTCCAGCACCATTGTAAGTTCAAACACTTTCTGAACAAGTGATCATTAAATGTATCCTGTATCTCCTTTACTCTACTACAGGGGTGTCAAACTCGTAGCCCACAGGCCGGATGCGTTATGTACTGGCCACCCGCACCCCCATTTTAGCAAAGGGGAAAAAAGTCATGATACATCATGCGATGATGTGACGCTGTGAGTTTGACACCCCTGCTCTACTAACATGTCCCATGGATTTTTTTTGTTTTAAAGGCTCTAGTTTAGTTTAACTTGTGACTAAAGTTGTTCAGGTTCAAGTTAATAAAAACTGGATAATGATTTCTGAATAGTTTCAATATTATTGTGTTAAAATCAAATGTAAATCATAACCATTAAAACTGCTATAATCATGGCATAATTGTATATACTTAACTGCATATTTAATACTTAACAGCATTAAACATTTGCTTCAAATAAGAAACTTTGTTTTAAATATCTATTCTGGGCCGGGTTGAGTGGAAGCTTTCAAAAGCAGATTTTGATTAAATTCATGAAGAAGAATGGTTTAATTTGGTTTGTTGTTTGACTAGATGAAGCTTGATTTCTTGCTGTGAGGTTATATTGTAAAGGAAATGAAGCTTTGCAATTCCCAATTAAAATTAATAGAGCAATCTGGATTACTTACCGAATCATCTTCTGCATCAGCCTCACCATCTGCCTCTGTATCTTCAGGTCTCAGCTGTCTACCTGATGCTGGAATTATTTTTAAAAAAGCATCAAAATTGTTCCATCCATTAGCAGTAAAAAAAAATGTATAGCTTGAAGTATTATTGCTGATCTAGTAGTAGCTGTTAAGACATCTAGTTCTGCCCTCCAATGGATATTTAATGGATGTGTATTAATGATTTTTCATATAAAATATGTCTCTAATCAATAGTTCATGGGACATAAATAAGCATTATGAAGTTGCAAAATAGAGAAGACTCATCTTATAGATCTCTCTTGGTTTGGCTTGATTAGACTATACTTATCACTGAATTCCTTATTCAAAATTTAGGCAATAAATGATGAGTTGCATTTTCAGTAGGAAGCATGTAAGGATTATTTCCAAAAATTAATAACAGACCAAGTTTATTTTTAAAAAATCATCCTGCTGTTTCCTGTTTTGTGTAAGAAACACTCATAGTTAAGTCTAGAACAACATCATTAAAACTATATTTTCAGACAAACTGGATTCATTCTGCAACCTGAGAATCTATATTTGATTGGGATGGGATGTAAATACAATAATTATATATAAATTTTTTGTATATATTTTTGTATTTCACACAATTTATTGTAGTTCCACTACTCATAGGAAGCCATGAGGAACATGCAAATCACCAAAGCCCCATCTTTCTCTATTAATAGACAGCCAGTTTGGTTTAGTGGTTTAAATACCAGGTTAGAAATCAGGAGACTAGGAGGTGTAGGCCTGCCAACAAAGGAGAGTTTTTGTGGCTCAGGGTTGAAACAAGGAGGTCTTTGGCGCTCTCTGAGCTTGTTTTCTTGCAGACATTTTGTTACCCAAACTAGGTAACAGTGCTAGTAAGGAGTGGAGTTTATATTCTAATGCTTTTCCCTGTCAATGTTGGTGGGCATAGCCTTAGAGAATCTTTCAGTGTTGGCTTGTTTGGCAGTTCCTTGATTGGGGTATTGTTTACTTGATTGTTGGTCTGATGTTAATCTTGGAGTTAATCTATTTTCATCAGGGTCCTGATTGCTGTTGGGGAAGTACTTTTCACCACATATATACATAGAAGCACCCACAGACATAATGCAAAGAACAGAAATGAATCTGTCTGTCTGTCCACACACACACACACAGGCAGAAGACATAATATTACACCAAATAAAATGTAGATGCTTCCTATGGCCATAGTTGATAAGGCAGTTAGAAAGAATTCTAGAAGCCATGCTCTGCATGTTTTCTCTAAATTGTGCAGTTTTTAAAAATCTCAGAGAGATGAACAAACAAACATAAAAATGAGATAAAATTGAATTTCTAAAGCTTAGGATACCATTGTGCTTCTTAAAACTCCTCTTCAAAACTAAACAAGGAAATAACACTGATTTAGCTCAGACAAAAGGTAAGCATGTCTATTCTATTTTCAAGGAAGCCTTAAACCACACCTTTCTAAAACAAGTTTTAGTTATTATTGCCCTGATCTATTGAGGGCTACTGTTGTGGTTTCAAAAGGGATGGTGGTGGCTAAGTACACAGCCCATGAGTTGCTTATGTGTGCTCCTTAAAAAGGAACTGATCGGCTTTGTTTCTGCTTTAAATAAAAGCTCGTTTCTCTCTTTGAAACTATGCTTTATAGTCTTATGATCTAAAATGTTCTGCTCTATCTTTACTCCTACACTTTTCCTGCAAAATTATTCCTTTGTTTTGACAGCAGTCCAGTGGCCACTGGGAACAGTTGCAGTGACTAATTCCACCATATTTGTGAAAAAGAAGCTGAAACAAAACACCAGTTGTGAACGATTTATGAAAGAATGAAAACATTACTAATCTTTGCAGAAAAATAGCCTAGAGATTTTTGTCCAAATCTTAACGTAAATAGTAAAATACTCAAAACTTGAATTTGTTTTACATCTGATTTTCAAAAGTTGGTTATTAGTACCTTTGAAAACCAGCTGTTAGTAAGTGTCTAAATGCTTGATTACTCATTTTCAGGAGAATTTCAACCGGCAGGATCATATTTAGTATCTTACAGATTTGCAGATCTTGTTTGCTGTAGGTCAGACACCCAGCCAATGGGCCGGATGTGTCACATGATGCAGGGGTGGGATTCAACCAGTGTTACTACTGGTTCAGTGAGTACCTTTTGACAGCTGAAAAGCGCTGCGCACAGGTGCGCAGCATTTGAAAAGCCACTTTGTTCCTGCTTTTTCAACCTCAGCTGTGCCGCACAAAGCAGCTGAGATTGAAAAAGCAGGAAATAAAGGACAACCAAGAGCCTGGGTGGGCGGGTAGGCCAAACAGCAGCAAACACAGAACCGGTTCGGTGTCTGCTGCACTTCAGAGCTACCCGTTCTATAGAGCTGGGCAGAACCAGTAGCATCCCACCCCTGATGTGCTGGCTATGCCTATGCCCGGTTTAGCAAAGGGGAAAAAAGTCCTGATACATCATATGATACCACCGTGATGACATGAGTTTGACACCCCTGCTGTAGGTTGTAGAAGTCCATTTTAGTATTTGCCTGGCACTTGTACCTACAACTATACTGGTCTTGATTTTATCTCTCTACAAACTACAGCAGAGGTCCCCAACCCCCTAAAAGTTCACCCTAAAAGCTTGTTGAAGCTAATGTTAACTTAATCAAATCATAATGACCCCTCTCTTTATAGTTCTTTAAGATCATGAAGTATAGATTGAAATTGGATTGATTATAGTATAATCAACTAGTACTGTTGTATTATATTGCAACCATCAAGAGAACACAGTTGTTCACCCAAGTTTTAGGAAATCAGTATGGTTATTTAATTTAGATCAATGTTTGCTATTATTAATTGGCTGCCTGAAATTTTCTGGACTGCTAGATCTATTACAAATCTTGTAAACAGCTCTTACAACCAGATGTAGTGACAAGATGGGAAAATAATTTCAAAATCCTCATTTCTGAACCTAGATATCTACCATCAGGATCAAGGAAACGATATATCCTCTTATGGAATACAATCCTCAAAGATTAAGCCTAAAGAGGAGGCAGTTCAAATAAGAGTAAGGAAAATCAGGTCTTTTCCTTAAAATGAGCACTTATTTCACTAGGATCAACTGTACACCCATTGAAATTAATGGGGCACAGATAAAAACTGCAATCCTAATAAAGATACATAACTGACTACATAACTGCCTCTCCCTGTCAGTTGGCATGAAGAAGCCAAATTCCAAACTTAGCAGAGCATATTCCCACAACCAGAATGGACATATATCCTTAGGAATACAAATATCCTAATTTCTACTTTTGTAAAAAAAAAACTTAGAAAAGCATGCATGTGCAATCTTTAATGTTAGCTTTCATTTGGATATACTAACTACATTGTGGAACAGAGTAGGAATAAATAACAGAATAACAGAGTTGGAAGGGACCTTGGGAGATCTACTAGTTCAAACCCTTGCTCAAGCTTAACTCAACCTACAAAGTTAACTATGACCACTACAACAGCCAATAGAATACATGTTCTTGCACAGGAACAGTTCAAGTGCAAAGCCCAAGAGAGGGTATAAATATCCCTGACTCTCCACTCCATATGGTCAGCTACTCAGAACCACACGTGCTTGGTGGTTCTACTTCACCCTCTTTTCAATCAGCCTCCAGCGTCCATATTGTCTCCAATGTCTTTCTCTCGGCTTGGAACTGATGGATGGATATTTCTCTCAACAATCTGGCACCCCAGATGGGACTCCAAGCTCACTTGACCAATGGACTTGGCCTGGGTAAGTCTCCTTGCCGGCACAGACCCATTGAGTCTGTGGGTGGATTTTTTCCAGACCTTGGCCATTTGGAATTAGGGTAGTAAAGTGTATTGAGTTTTCAGCTCAAAGGCTGCTTGGAAAGAAGGTGAGTACCTCTACTTTTTAACTGTATAGCCCAGAAAACCCTGGGAAATGTGTGCATGCCTCTGTGTGTGAGTGAGAGGATCCTTATCCCAACCACAGCTGAATCCTGTTCCCTCTGTCTCTTTGCTAGCCGCAAACAGGCTCACTGCTAGTCCCTCCTAGCATGTGACTGGTGAAATCCTGGAGAGCAAGGGGGTTAGAGTGGAGCATAGGACCCTCTGAAAAGGAGAAGGGGCTGAGCAGATAACGAAAGTATTGGTGAATTCTGTATTTAGTAGACCAGTACCTCCTGGTGAATTCTGTATTAGTAAACTAGTACCTCCTGCCAGTTGATAAGCAAAGCCCTATGAAAGGATGGGCCCTTACCACTGGGAAGCAAGTGGAGGTCCTCCTGGACTCTACTGAGTCTGAAAACTGCAGTGGAAGGAGGGATCCTTACCTCAGGAAAGAAAGTAGAGGTCCTCCCAGGCTCCCTTGAGTCTGAAAAGTGCAGCGGAAAAGGAATGGCCAAGAAAAGAGGTACTCTTAACTCACTGTGAGAAGCAGTGGAGTCCTCACAGACACCTTTTTGGTCTGAAAACTGTTGGCGGTGTTTCCTTGGTAGGAGGGATCCTTACTCTGGAAAGGAAACTAGAGTCTTCCCAGACCCTTTTTGGTCTGAAAATTGCAGTGGAGGCGAGAGCTTCACTAGAAAACTCAAAATTTGCCAGGACCTGGCAGAGCCTAATTGAATCCCTACACTAGAAAGGGAAACACGGGGCGCTCTGGCTCGAGGGTCAGGGTAGGCTCCCCGGTAGAAAACTTGCTTGATGCCTTGGACAAGAGGCAGTTGCCTGTCCAGGTGGGTATGAAAAAAATAAGCAAAAAAAAAAAAGTGTAAGAAATGACAGGAAACAGATTTGGCCAGAAGATGATACTTGTGATTTTAAAACACTGAAATAAATCAGATCCAGGATCACACCCAGCCAATTGGCTAGAACAAGAAACCTAGCCTTGGGGGAAAGAACAAGTCAGACATAAATTATATAAAGAATGGGCTTTGCTCAGAGATGAAGCTGGAAAAACAATTTGGCTAAATAAAGGTACTTAAAACAAAAGGGAAATATATAAATAGGAACGTTGAGGGCTGTTTATTTGTTTTCTTTC